GAGGGGAAATTGAGAGAGCAAAAATGACAGCTGAACTTGCAAGTTTTACTGGATTTTTACTAGCAACTATTTGCTAGAAAAACAGCTTCTCATAAAAATACAATCGCCGTTCGGAGTCGGCGTAAAACTGTAGGTCCCTTCGCCTTGTGTGACAATATCAAGGCGTACGCCACAAGTCGGAGGAGAAGCTCGGCCAAACACTAACATATGTGTAAGCGCCAATCTATTATTATTATTATTATTTGCTAGTAAGAAAAACAGCTGATGGCATGATGCTTAATGTTATTCACATTGTTTGTGGTGCCTTTAGAGTTGCAATTGACAAAGTAAACCTATTTAAATTTATAATAAGATGGAAAATACTAGTTTTCTAAGAAAATTGCATCGGAAAATAAATTAATCAGCTGTTCCTAAAACTAGAAACTTCTTGCTGGTTTTGCGTTTTCGTACTTTCTTGCATATTTCACTCATTGGGAGTAAATATTGGCTTACTCTCCGAAATTTGGTTACTGGCAAGTTACTGGATATTTTTGGCTGCAGAATACGAAAACACAACTGATTTGTGGTTGCTGGGAATGTTTATGGAGCGTATTTAGAAGCGAAAATTGAAAAGTGTGTCATATATTTTACTTTTTAATGATTTCAACGATATTAACATTCTGCAATGCTTTTACAGAATATGGTGAAAATAACAAAACAATAACTTGAAATTTTAGTTCCGGTGGAGTACGCCCTTTTGGCGAAACAAAAGCGAACACAGTGTAACATTGTATAAAATAATTTCATTTAGATAATTTTCGGAGTCGGTAATGCAACCCTGTTCCTACTAGTCTAACCCTTAACGGCGCCGTGTTGCAGATCTGCAACATACTCAAGATTCTCCCGCTAAAATAGTACCAAATTTAATATTGACGCCAAGCGCATTGTTGCATATCAGTAACAAAGCGAACAGCCCATTTCTAACAGTACTTAGCAAAACCAGTCAGATTTTTGTTCTCAGTTCTTATTGAAAGGTGATTTTTTGTTGTGAGAAAAGCTCCTGGCAAACATACGGTTTTGCATTTTAGTATTTAAAAAAAGTGACAAGATTGGCCATAAGCAATAATAACTTGCGGAAGGTAAGACATTATTTGGCTGAAAAACGAACTGTTTATGTGCGTAATTTGTTGTGTGATATATGTAGCGTTAAATTTTGATTTGTTGCAGATCTGCGCTTATCACATCGATTAGCAACTGAAAATGGCGTCCCTTACAGACGTTGAAATAGAACGAATTTTAGAGGATCTGGGTTGCGAAAGTGAGAATGGAATGGATTTTTCAGACGACGACGATGTTATTCCTCCAGAAATAAGTGCACTTCCGTTGTCAGTTGAAGAAGAATTTAGTGGTAATGGTAATGATATCTCTGTTATAACGGGCATCAGCTCAACAGCAAAGGGCGGTACCAAGAAATGTAAACCTGAGAAAGTAAATATTAGCTACAGAAATTAGTAGTTAGTTTTTTAAGAATTTGGGTTCTATTTTTTGCAGCTGAGTGTGAAATGGAAGACCAAAGCTCTTAATTTAAGTTCCGAGCAAATTTATTTCCGTGGCAGTACAAACTTGTCGAATGACATTTTGGGACTGGATACACCTTTCCAAGTGTTCCAATAACTGTTCCCAGATGAAATAGTGGACTACATTAGAGATCAGTCTAACATATACAGCACAGAAAAAATTTAAATAAGCCCTTAAACACTACAAATATCGAAATAAGGCAATTTATTGGTATTCTCTACTACATGTCCATCGTAGAAATGCCGAATGCCGGTATGTATTGGTCAGAGAAGTTCGGCTACGCTCCTGTAAAAGAGATTTTGTCTCAAAAAATATTTGCACAAAATCGCCAAATGTTACACCTGAACGAAAACAGCAATATGTTAAATAAGGATCACCTTGATTTTGACCGATTATTCAAAATAACGCCACTGTTAGACATGCTGAACTCAAGTTTTGGAAAAATTCCGTTAGAGGCGCAGTTATCAATTGACAAGCAAATATGTTCTACAAAGGCACGTCACCACCTGAAGTAGTACCTTCCCGATAAACCGCATAAGTGGGGCTATAAATTATTCGTCATGTCTGGTGTGAGTGGCTTTGTCACAAATTTGAGGTATACAGTGGCCAAGAAAATATTGTCGCTGACGATGAACCCGACCTAGGTGCGTCTGTCAATGTGGTTGTTCGACTTTCAAGAAGTGTGCCTTCCAATGAGAACTACCGCATTTTCTTTAATACTTACTACACGTCCTTGCCGTTGACTGAATACTTGGCAAAACGAGGAATACTGAGCTTGGGAAACATTAGAAGAAATCGCATACCCAATTGCAAGTTACCGGAGGAAAAGATTTCCAAGAAAGAGTACCGCGGGACATCTGTCGAACAGGTGGGTGACATCAATGGAACGGACATCTCCGTTGTTTCATAGAGGGACAACAAAGTGGCCACATTAGCATCCAACTTCGCGGGAAAAGTCGCAGTATCTTCGGTGCATAGATATGATAAATCCAAGAAAAACAGAAAAGCAGGGAACGCTAAAAAGGAAAAGTACCCTACAAAGCCAAATAGAAGAAAAAAAGAAAAAAGGTCCTTGTCAATACATTCCGCCGAAAGATGTTCGGCAAGATCAGCTAGGACATTGGCCTGCTTGGGCAGAAAAAAAAATAAGGTGCAAGCTACCAAACTGCAAAGGATACACGCAAACAATTTGCGAAAAATGTGGCGTGGGCTTATGCTATAACAAAAGTAACAATTGCTTCAAGCAATTTCATATTCATTGAATTTTCTGAAATAAAGCGCAATGTTGCATATCTGCAACATACTTATTTTATTGAATAAAATATTAAAAAAAATCAAATTAAATTTTTGTTATCATTTCCTTTCTATAAATAGTATTTAAAATCGTTTGAAACAGGTTTTTCAAAAAAAAAAAAAAAGAACTTGCGCCGTAAAGGGCTAAGTAAATTATGTAATGCAACCCTGTAAAGAAAATGAATAAAGAGAAAAAGAGGAAGATGGCGGGCACTTCCTTTTGGGCGAAATAAAGAGACACACGTATTTTATTAACGCGAAATTGAATCCGCGGTAATCCGCCTGCTAACAACCAAATCAACAAGGAATTTACAGCTCAGGTATTGGGATATTACCCCGATCATCGAATATCATCAATAGTTGCCAATAATCATGGAAAATGGCCAACCCACGTGAGGATATAACTAAGGCCTTACAACAAGCTGGTGTGGCGTTCCCACCCTCAGCCACGACACAACAGCCACGTAAACTTCTCGTGGGTGATAATAGGAACACCACTACCCTTGCCGATACCGTTGATGCCGCATTTACTGCCTCAACCAACACCGCCGGCACCATCGCCGACATTGCCGTCACCGCTGCCATCACTACCGCCTACACCACCGCCACTACCGCTGCCATCACTACCGCCTAAACCGCCGCCGCCACCGCTGCCTTCACTACCGCCGCTGCCGCCACCGCTTATTCCGCCGCCACCACCACCGCTAATACCGCCTATTCCACTGCCGATACCGCCATCTCTATCGCCAATAACACTGCGGCTCTGGTATCAGAGAATGCCACCGAAATAGCCAGGTCCGTACTCACTGAACTAGACGCAGAAGTGACGACCCTTAAGAATACTGACGCTACGCAGACAGAAGAACTGGAGCGCCCTCCTAATAGTAGACGACAAGGTCGCCTGGAATTCGGCGATATTGAGCAGGCTCTGCCTAAATTTAATGGCGACGACGTAACCTGTCCCGTTCGCCATTTTCTGCGCGATTTTGAGGAAATAATGGAGTCCTCAGGTGCTGACGACAATTTTCGCTTGCTTGCCCTGCGCCGGTCTCTAACAGGTACAGCGCGGGTATTTTTATCGACCACGGGCGCCTTAAATTACCTGGCGCTAAAAACGGCGCCATCAGGCGAATTCGACGTGGGAATTACAAGGCGAGAAGTATACAAAATGCTGGCGCAGCGCCGCTGGAAGAGGAAAGAGGAGACGCTCCACTGCTACACGCTAACGATGCAGGCCATTGCGAAGCGTGCCAATATCGCCGATACGGAGTTGATAGACTTCTTAATAGACGGCATCGGGAACACTACCCCGCATGCCCACATCCTGATCACGGCACGAAGCGTAGAGGAATTAAAAACCCTTATAAACCGGTACCAACACAAATATTTCGTGACCAGGGCGGTGCAGCCATCTAACCAGCGGCAGATAACGGCGCCAAAACAAACCGACGATACGAAGCTGAAGCGTTTCAACTGCTCCCGGAACGGGTACATAAAACCAAACTGCCCGTTCCCACTAAGACCGGATGGTTCCTACTTCAGGTACTGGAAGATGGGCCACGACCATCGCTCATGCCCAAATCCAGCAAAACTCCTGAAAAGGCGCGAAGTAGCCACTGTTGCCGAGGATGAAGACGACCAACTGGGTGCAATCGGCGCTTTTAACTCTGTGAGTATAGCTTTTAAGACACTTGCGGTTCCAATTACTTATAAGGTACCCTCTCTTTTCGATACTGGCAGTCCGATTAGCTTTGTAAAGGCATCACTGGTCCCAAAACAACTAGGGAAAAAACATATGGTTAATAGAAGCCCCAGTTATAAAGGAATCGGTGGAAGCAAAATTTAAATACTTCATAAAATTAAATGTAATATTGAATTCTTGAACGAAAAAAAAAGAAATTGAATTAAATGTTATTGAAGACAAAAGCATTAATTTGCCAGTTATTTAGGGATGTGATTTCCTCAATATGTTTAACGTTTGTCTGACTAGCGCAACCGATAGGTACACTAAGAAAAAAATGCTTGAAATAAGAAATGTTAACGATCATAGCTTGTATAAGTCTGAGAAGTTTGTAACTGATCCCAACGCACACTCGGCCGTCATCAGATGAATTAAAATACGTTAAAGATCAAGACGTAACGATACGCGAGGTTACCATCTATTGCCGTAATAAGCCTGACGACGTACCTGACGCAGCTGATGTACCTGCTGCCACTGACGCACCTGCTGCCATTGACGTACCTGCCGCCGCTGACGTACCTGAAATATTTTGCATTGACGTTCCCCACGGTGGAAACGACATAGACATAGACACTAGACTGACCAGTAATCAAAGGAATGACTTGGAGCGACTTATCGTTAACACATCTCTTGAACCGGAAGTGGCACCCGAACCATTTAAATACGAAATGAAGATACTCTTGACGACTGACGTACCTTTCCATTGCGCGCCCCGACGACTTTCTTACGCTGAGAGAAACCAAGTACAAACTATCATTAATGAACTCTGCCGAGATGGAATAATAAGGCCGAGCGATTCACCTCATGCGTCAGCAATAGTGCTGGTTAAAAAGAAGAACGGAAAGGTCCGAATGTGTGTAGATTACCGAGCATTAAACATATTGACTGTTAGGGATAATTATCCTCTGCCGCTAATCGATGACTGCATAGAATATCTGGAAAACAAACGTTTCTTTTCCGTATTAGACTTAAAAAGTGGTTTTCACCAAGTTCAGATGGCACCTGAATCAATTCCCCTTACCGCCTTCGTGACCCCTAATGGTCAATATGAATATTTGAAGATGCCGTTCGGACTGAAGAACGCTCCCGCTGTATTTCAGCGTTTCATTAACAACATCTTCCGGGAAATGTTCGATAGCAGAAAAGTCATCATTTACATGGATGACATCATCGTTGCGACCGAAAAATTTGATGAACACAAAGACCTGCTAAAATTAGTATTAGAGAGACTTACCTTTAGAGCTTTGGAACTTAACTTAGATAAATGCAGGTTTGGGTATGATGAAATCAATTATTTAGGATATGTGGTGTCACATTCAGGTATATTACCCATAGCATACAAAATTTCCCGATTCCACCGAATGCAAAGCAACTACAATCCTGCCTTGGCATGTTCTCATATTTCCGCAGATTTGTACCGTCCTTTTCGCAAATTGCAAAACCATTACAAAACTTGCTTAAAAGAAACTCACCATTTGACTTTGACGAGAAATGCCTTGATGCATTCACCGAACTTAAGTCCCGCCTTGTTAAAAGCCCCGTGCTGGCTATATTCAACCCACTTCGGGAGACGGAACTCCATTGTGACGCCAGTAGTGTAGTTTTCGGTGCAGTATTGCTGCAACCCAAAACGATAGTAAGTTCCACCCCGTCTCGTACTTCTCCAAAACTGCCTCAAGTGCCGAGTCGAAATATCATAGTTTTGAACTGGAGGCATTGTCCATTATATATGCACTTAGGAGGTTTAGGACATATCTAGAAGGCATACGCTTCACCATAATAACCGACTGTAACTCATTGACGATGACACTCGAAAGAAAACAACTGAACCCCCGGATAGCTAGGTGGGCTCTTGAGCTCGAAAATTATAATTATAAAATAAAACATAGAAAAGGGGCTTCAATGGGTCATGTTGATGCCCTCAGTAGGAGGCAGATAGCGCTAATTGTAAACACGGATGACGTGGAGTTCCAAGTACAGGTTGCCCAGAGCGGGATAAAAATATTATCTTGGTAAACGGATTGATATACAAGAAGAAGCATGACGGTAAGATAGCTCTGTATGTACCCAACGAAATGGAGCACAACGTGATACAGGTAATTCACAAGAGGATGGGTCACTTATCAGTGGAGAAGACCCTTAGTAAGCTGAAGCTATATTACTGGTTTCCAAACATGCGACCGAAAGTAGAAAAGTACGTTAGGAATTGCCTGAAGTGCATAATGTACGCCACTCCGCCTCATGCAAAAGAAAGAACTCTTCACGTTATCCCAAAAACCCCTTTGCCGTTTGACACTATCCACGTAGATCACTTTGGACCACTGCCGTCAATGCGTGAAAGCGTAAGCATATTTCAGTTGTTGTTGACGCATTCACTAAATATGTCAAGCTTTGTCCAGCTAACTCAACTAGTACTCGAGAAGTCACGGCGGCCCTCGACAAGTATTTTAGCGCTATTATAGTAGGCCGAGACGAATCATCAGCGATAGAGGCACTTGTTTCACTTCTCTCAGAGTTAAGTTCATTTTTATTGAGACGAAATGTAGGGCATGTGAAGGTTGCCGTGGCATCCCCACAGGCCAATGGACAGGTGGAGAGAGTGAATAGGATACTAAAATCCATGTTGGGGAAGTTGACGGACCCTATTAACCATGATGACTGGGTTAAAAAATTACTTGAAGTCGAATACGCTATTAATAATTCGGTGCAAAGTACTTGCCGTGATACCCCGAGCCGACGAGGGGTGATATTTAACGAATTTACGGAATACTTCCAGGAAAAACTATGCCCGGACGAAGGACGAGACTTGGACCGCCTACGTAAGGACGCATCCGACTCGATCACTGCAAGATAAGAGTACGATTCCGCGCGAAGAGTAACCGCCAAAGTAAGGCATATGACGTAGGAGACTTTGTAGTCGTGAGAAATGTCGACACTTCTACAGGAAGTAACAAAAAATTCGTGCCTCAATACAAGGGACCGTACGTATTGCATAAGGTTCTAGGGAATGATAGGTACGTCGTCCGCGACATAAATAATTGCCAGCTTACGCAACTTCCCTATGACGGTATGATCGAGGCCCATCGAATGAGAACGTGGCGGCAGCTACCGGAAGTGTGCGTTGAGAATACAGATCAGGACCCATTAGCGATTAGTTGAGTGATTTTATTCTGATCGAGGCCGATCATGTGTCAGGTTTGGCCGAGTTGTAACATTGTATAAAATAATTTCATTTAGTTAATTTTCGGAGTCGGCAATGCAACCCTGTTCCTACTAGTCTAAGTAAATTATGTAATGCAACCCTGTAAAGAAAATTAATAAAGAGAAAAGGAGGAAGATGGCGGGCACTTCCTTTTGGGCGAAATAAAAAGAAACACGTATTTTATTAACGCGAAATTGAATCCGCGGTAATCCGCCTGCTAACTACCAAATTAACAAAGAATTTACAACAGATTGCAAATATTTTCCTTTATCAACTGAAGCACCTCTTTTAAAACTACCGACACACCAGGTCTTCCAAATTGAAGTCTTTGCGGTGGCACTTCCTTCTGCGAAAAAATCGAAGAGGTGCGCAAGCTTTTATGAGCGGAGGTATTGAAGTTGAACGAAGTGGTTCATCTGTTTATTAACCAATTATATTACAGTTTTATTTGGAAGTCCTCAATTTGCTTTGAAAATGAACACAAAACGATAATAAAAGAAAAACTTTGAAAGCATTAACTTTTGCTTACAGTGTACGCGGTAGCTCTAGAGCACAGCTGGGCAGCGTCTGTCCGGGGGCGACTGCGTGGCGAATTCGCGTATACATGCTCTGCTTGGGAAGACAGCGAAAGCTTCACACGACTTGTTCGCATGCACACAGTGACATCAATTGCACGCACACTACAAAAATGCTCTGCCGAAGCTGCCCACCTCTGCTCTAGAGGATTGGAATTATCCTTTAAATATCGCCTGATTGAGGCCGCGTTCATGCGCTTCTTTTCCTCTTAAACAAATAATTGTGATGAACTTAGCTTTATTGCTGTCTTTTTTTTAAGACTCTTTATTTAAATAATTTATGGCTCGGCCGTCAGCTGGCAACGCAACTGGAAAGAAAATTTGTATTACGAATGGCAACTAACGTTAGTTGCTGTATCGATAATCGCGATTTGACAGTTCGACCACCAGCAAGTGGCTGTAAACAAGCTGTGCGAGTAAAATTAAATTATTAAAATAAAGAGTTTTAAAGAAAAGACAGCAATAAAGCTAAATTCATCACAATTATTTGTTTAAGAGGAAGAGAAGTGCATGAACGCGGCCTCAATCAGGCGACTCTTAAAGAATAATTCCAATCCTCTAGAGTAGCAATGGGCATAATGTGCACATACGGGCAAAATGCCCAAACGTGCAAACCACGGCAAATGTGCAAACCGTTGGGTAGGTGAGGTGAGGTAATTATGCCCGGGAAGGGGGGGGGGGAACATAAAATTTTGCGCGAATTGCATCTGTATGTGTGATCGGAATGAGAGAACAAGTATAAGGGAGTACTCACGAATGTGAGACCCCATGGCTGCTAACTTTCCTAAAAGCACCAAAACTTGGGACAAATCAAAACATCAAAAAATTATTTTCAGTCAAATTTAATATGCATCAATATGCACATATTTATGTACAAAGATTTCCGCATCCAAAATAAAATGCACTAAATAAGCACTGAACATGGCGGGAAAGGTATTCTAATAGTATTATATAGTTGTCGAATATTTTTAGGTATCTTCGGCTCAACTAACGTGAAAAAAGCTGCATGATGTGATGATGATAAATTTTAATTCGACATTCGTATGACCAATTTTTATACTTTATTTGATGCCACAAAATCCCAATACTGATTATAAAACCATATAACGAAGTTCCAATTTTGTTTTTGTTAAAAAACTGATGGTTTTTTATAAACATATGATCTCTAATTTTATCAAATAAAGTTTAACTCCTAAATTACAAAAGAAACTTCTTTTCATAAGATTTTACAGAATTTAAATGATTTAGCAGGATTCTAGCGATTTTTGTTTATCAGTTTGGCGGGACGGCAGAAACAGAAATGGCAACACTGGTGGTGAGTACCGACTTACTTGCGCTCATATTAGCGTTCAGTTGGTCGCAAATTTTCAAAGGGAGGGGTTGTTCTTGCGCAGATAATTTTTCGTTAGAAATTTGCTTGGAAAAAAGGGACAATCATGCGCAAAACAAACTTTTTATATGACGGTTTTCTACCGAAAAAATTTGCAATCAGTGTTCGCTTTTGTTTCGCAAAAAGCGCGTACTCAACGGGAGTAAAAATTTCAAGTTATTGTTTTGTTATTTTCACCATATTCTGTAAAAGCAAACTTCATTGCAAAATGTTAATATCGTTCAAATTATTAAAAAGTAAAATATATGACAAACTTTTAAATTTTTGCTCCTAAAAACACTCCAAAAACCAACAAATGTAGTTGCCTGCATACACACTTTGTAGCAACTGCAGCTGTCAGTTAAAAGTTGCCAGTTGCCATCTGTAATATCGTTTTGGCAACTAGCAACGCAGCTGAATCTCGCTTGCTATCGATAATCGACCCATTGATTTTACTCGCACGGCTTGTTTACAGCCGCTTGCTGGTTGTTGACCTGTCAAATTTCGATTATCGATAACTCTACAGCAACTGACGAAGGTTGCGATTCGTAATACAAATTTTATTTCCAGTTGCGTTGCCAGCTAGCAATCGAACCGTGGTTGCATTGCTATCCGTAATCGACCCAGAAATTTTCTCCGTTTGGCAACTTAGGTATTCTGCGTTCCGTTTCGTTTCGATCAATCTTAAAAATTTACGATTATACCTATTCTACATTTCGGTCGTAGTTACGTCTTTCTAAGCAGAAAATTTGATGACGGAGAACGTTTCGATTGTTATTTTCGTGGGATTAAATATTAAAATTTTATAAAAAACTTAAGTAAAATATACTGTGCATGATTGTAAAAGTCACCATAAATGAATTTTCTCCAATTCTGTGTTTTCGCGAGCAGCAATACGGGCAATACGAAAAATTGGCTCAAATAATGGCAACCAAAAGGGATATTGCGCGGGGTTTTCAAAGAGGAACCCAGGCGTTTTTGTTTTCATTGTCTATAAATAAGACTGCGAAATGCACTGAATACAATTTATTCTTTTTATATAACATTAATAGATTTATGAGATGTTTTTATTATTTTACTCGTTTTTACTAGCTTTTTAAAAAGAGGTGCGTATGTTGTCTCGAATACGATTTGCTATGGAAGGATAAGCTTTATTCTTCCCATCCTGGCGGCTTTCAAAATCGAATTCATTTGCGTTAAAATCTTCCACTCTGTACTAAATGCAAATGTTGTGGAGTGCTCAAACGACGTTTATAATTTCACTGGCTTTGAGCGGTGAGTAATGCAGTTCAAGATGAATTTCTTATAATTCTTCACTCATCTGAAAAGGATCAAACATGTCCCTAAATTTCCGCCTTTAAAGTTTCGCATCAGCAATCTGGGACTCGTTCTGCTCTTCAAGCAATAGAATTATGTATGTTTCCACTTAAATTAAGAGCAAACAAAAATTTTATTTTTAAATTAAAATGAGTTAGATATATTTAGTTATTGTAAAATATTTACAAATTTTAACTTCATAAGCTGTTATAGTTTGGTGGCAATTATTTCTTTTGTTTTGTTTCGAATTCACACATAACTAGGCATCCAGCTTATTTCGAGGATGTGTTCGCTCTTCCTCTTCCTCTTCTTCTTTCGATTCGATCGTAACTTAGAATACCAAATTACGATTGTAGCGGAGCGGAATGCGGGAACGTAATCCAAATGTAGAATAGGGCTGAATATATTCGCGAAACCTTGGACCAAATATAGTAAAATTTCGTTTTTAGTTCTTCACTCTGACGTCATGGGTATCAAATTAAAGAGGAAATTCTGTAGAGTTTAAACAGATTCAATTTTTTGGAGTATTAGGGCTGGTAAGTATTGAAAATGTCCATTAAAATTTTATCCTTGAAATTCCGTAATATTTGTTGCTGAAAAAATTATATGTTAAGGACTTATGTAAACTCCATAACATCCTCGAATTTCGTTCTTTTAACTTTATCATCTTAAAAAATTACGTATTCGTCCTTGTGAATCCAAATAATTTTAATTTTTTTAAATTCTAAAGAAATTTCCTTTTTTATTTGGTACCCATATTTTTAATCTACATTGCATTGAATTTTTTAAATAACAAAGTCCTTTAAAATAAATCCTGACGTAAGAGAGAAAAAATAAAAGCGCACCTTTAAATAAATAAGTCATTTTTAAGCAAAAAACAAAACCGACTTCAATTCTCATATAAGAATTTAAGAAAAAACAAAACCGACTTCAATTCTCATATAAGAATTTAAGATTATCGTTAATTTCTTCATGATCGATTATTATTTACTAGCAGACCCGGCGAACTTCGACCCACCCAAAAAAATTTTTTTTTATTGAAACATTTGGTCCAACGTTTTCACCAACAATTCACGTTCACGTTTGGTTTGGTGGTCGGCAGAAGGCATATCCTCCATTGCTGTCTTAGATAACCTAACGAAAGCGTTATGTCCGTGAAGAATTTCTTGCGACAACAATGATCCGGTTAGTTGGTGGCAATTTCAATATGGGGGAGCATCATTGGTCCATAGAAATCCAATATATATAGACTTATTTTAGACTAAATTCCTTAAATATCTTACAATTGTATTTGTAGGCATTCATCAATAAGACAGGTCCACAAAAAAAATCGATGAAAGGTTCCTTTGACCAAACCTAGTCTGTTATATGCTTTTGGGGTCGCTGAACACGAATCTGAAGTCCGTTTTGTTCCATCACGTCTGGATTTTTTTCTAACCTTAAAAAACTTGTCGGATTTTACGGTACAGAGAAAATCCGAGGTGTTTTTTGAGGTTAGGAGCAAATCTAGACGTGATGGAGCAAAACGGACTTCAGATACGTGTTCAGCGACCCGGCGGGTCTGCTAGTGCTATTTATAAACAAAATTTCGCGAAAATCTGAACTGCTGTTCGCGAGATTATTATTGTTTATTATTACTATTGATGTGGTGAAATTGCTTTTTGTTGGTAGCGGGAAATATAAAAAATTGTGAGCAACAAAACAAAACGTCAGCATATAGAGAAATCAGAGAGCATACTTTTTTGATCTTAGCTTTGCTTGATTACACTGGATCACAAATTTTAGTTTGGTTTTTGTTCTCCAGACGCCACTATCCAAATTCTATGTAGAATTGCTCGGTGATTCCGAAAATCGAGATATTTTTTGTTCTATGGATACGTTTTCGAGATATTTGCAATTTACCGTTATTCAGCTTAAAACAAAAAGTGATTCCACTTAATCGCGTATATCTGACAAACCAATTTAACAATCTTAAAAGGAGATACGTCCAATCAAAGCTAATATAATACTCCATAAACCATATATACATCACTTTCCGATAGGACTGATAGTTTCTGACAAATTAATTAATCATTCCAGTTTTTTTATATTTATTAATGAAAAAATAAAAATATTAAACTTTAACAGAAGAAAAATTAAAAAAATAACAGGTTCTGTGCCAAGTTTTTGCATTTGTACTAAAGCCTGTTCTGTTACAAAAAAAAAATCAAGTTACTGATGAAGAAAATCGATTGATAAATAAGAAATAATGAGTAGTCAAATGAAAATGCGCAAAGATTTTTTGTATGAAATACGAGCAGAAAAGCATGAAACGTAGGTGTACGTGGCGTATGAGTAACTTTCTTTCCTGGTCATTTTTCATACGAAAAATCTTTGCGTATTTTCATTTGACCACTCATTATTTCTTATTTATCCATCGAGTTTCTTCATTAGTAATTTGATTTTTTTTTTGCAACAGAACAGGCTTCAGCATAAATGCAAAAATTTTGCACAGAACCTGTTATTTTTTAAATTTTTCTTCTGTTAAAGTATGATTTGTTTAATTTTTTCATTAAAAAATATAAAAAGCTGGAACGATTAATTAACTTTTCAGAAACTATAATCCCTAT